ATCTCTTCCTAAGCAAAATACTGGGAAGCAACACAGTCCAGCCCTTACACAGAGTCTGATACTACTGCTGAACATGGCCACCTTTCAGCCCTCACTGAAAGGGAGTCTCTGGAGACCGTAACAATAATGCCACAGTCTCTGCTAGTACTGAAATGGGAATTTATGAGCTCAGAGGACAGTGGCAAGTAACACTGGCCCACGCAAAAAAGTAGGCCTGTTTTCAAGTCTTCTTTCCAGCACCACAGAGGTTCCTGCTTTGTCTGAGAAGTCTCTAGCACAGCTCTATCCTTAATACTGAAGGGGTCCTCCATTTAGGGAACCACACCTTTTCTTCTCTGGGTGGCAGCAATATCATTAGGGATGACTGAATTTCTATCCCATATACTCTGTTACACATTGGATGGGGTCTTACCTGGGCACAAACTGATTGGCTGGCCGCTTCGGCCGATACTCAGGATGCACCATGAACAACATGTGGGGAAAACCAGTTCCAAAATAGGCACCATCTGTGTGATGATGGCGGGAAGATTTGGGAGTATAGACATCCATACACTTGGGGCAGTACAGTTTGACCATAGCTTCCCCTGGGATATCAGATAAACCTAACAATGAAGACAAAGTGCAGTTAAGATAGAAGTTCAGGAATTAAATTAGTTTAAAGAAGTTACTTGATATGACTTCTGGAACAGACTTACCAACCTGGCTTCCACCAACAGTCCCAAGATCTAAAAGTTTGCAGGTTTCCAAAACAGATGATTCAAGAATTTAGTTCTAAAAGAGCCTGAACTGAAAGCATCCTACGGTTTAATCTGTCTATTATTTCGCCCTGATCCTTAAATCCAATTTTTTTCTTGATCTCGTCCTATAAAATAGACCCTATGTTAGCTCTGAATCACTTCCTCCATGATATAACATACTCACCAATGGGCAGCATAGGCTGATTCTCACAATAAACTCGAGGGCAATATCCAAAGTCTCCTTGCTGGTATTTCTCAAGCTAGAAACAGGGAAGGAAAAAAAATATAGAAAGTGGAATCTTTCCATAAATTGGAAAGGAACTAATTCGCTGGCTTCAGAGATTAATCAGAGAAATCACTAAGGAACATCAGAATGAATCTGCAGTAGCCAGTCAACTCAATCACCTAGATGAATCTGTAGTATACATTAAAAAGTTGTTCTCTTTTAGGTTTCGTAATCTCTGGCTGGGAACAACAGTCCTGGAACATCAAAAAATAAATTACAGGGTGCCTGCTTACTAAATAGTATGGATAATTACCATCTGGGCAATACCACGGTTTGTGAGGATATAGCGGGCATGAATGAGTCCATAGAGCATTTCAGCTGCCTGTTCAATCAAGTCACTCTGGTTAGGATTATCCTCAAGCTCTTCATCTGCAAGAGAAACGGAAGGAAGGGTTCTGCTGCAATGCACAGTGGCACTGAGAGGAAGAGGAAGAGAGATGTGCTCTCCTACTGAAGCATTATCTCATATCAATTCTACACTGTGCCTCGCTTCTAGTATTATGCATTTACTTATCCAGTGTTTTCTTAACCCTGTCTTTCACTTTGTTCCTGCCATACTAAATTGTAATTGTAATTCACAATGTAGCACAAATGGAAAAATATATTTTGATAGATTTATTTTAATAAATTAAGATCAGAAACAGTTCACACAATGAACATGCTAATCACCCTCAGCAGCCACTCGTTAACAACCCAATAGAAGAAAAAACCCTGCCTAACCCCCAGGAAGATACACACAAATTCTGACACCAAAACAAGCAGCCACTCATTAACCCACCCACCCACCCCCT